CCTTTTTTCACATTAAAAAAAAAAAAAAACTTTGATTTACTTATTTTTAGTAGTTTTAGATTATATATTCTCTGAGTTGCTCAAGTAAATGCAAGTAAAAGCAGGTACTGAGTAGCCATTTTTTTTATTACTGTAAATTAAAGAGATAGTTCACCCAAAACTGAAAATTCGGTCATCATTTACTCACCCATAACATGTTCTAAACTTCTTTCTTCTGTTAAACACAAACGAAGATATTTCAAGGAAAGCTGAAAACCTTTAACCATTGACTTCAATAGTAGGAAAAACAAACACTATGAAAGTCAGTGGTTACAGGTTTTCAGCTTTCTTCAAAATATCTTCCTTTGTGTTGAATAGAATAAAAAAAAAAAAAGATGTTTGTACTGTAACATGTGAACGATGAGTTTTGGTTTTTTTTGTCAATTTTGGGTGAACTATTCTTCTATTAAGTTCATAATTCCTCTGTTGGTTAAGATGACATTTCATTACAAAAATATATGCAAAGATAAATGTAATGTTAAGATTTTTGCAAATAAATAAATTACTATTATTATTATTATTATTATTATTATTATCATCATCATCATTGTTGATGTTGTGTGGAAATGAACCTGGACGGATCTCTATTCTACAGTAAATAGGATTTATTTTTCTTTTCTTCCTTCTTTAGATTTCTGAGGGTTTTACAAAATACATTTTGAGGATAAAAAAAAAAATCACAAAGTAAGTACTCTAATATAATTTACAACAAGGTACTTGAAAGCAACACACTGTGCAAACCATTTACCAAAATCGCCTGTGTAGTTTGACCTTTGACCCTAGAACCCATTGGCGCAACAACAAGTAACCTGACGTGTTGTGCTGCTGGAAATCAGTTCTCTCTGGCCGAGGCCCAATCAGCACACCGCAGCTACAGATCAGATTACTATTTACACTGCGTTTCAGCCTTAATCAGGATCCCCATCTGCTGCCTCTCTTCACCGCATAATACATCAACAACACGTCCGCAATAGTGTCCGGTTATGTTTTACCCCAGCACACACAAACACTGCTGACACCTCATGGTTAAAACTCAGATTATTTGTCGTCTATTTTCCTCCTTTCTCACATATCTCAGTTCCAGAAGCACTTCAGATTATTCAGCGGCATCTCAAAGGTGGCATCCATTTTTCGTTTTAGCTTTTTCACAAGCTAACAAATGGAGAAAGACGACCAGCCGGTGTCTACACAGCATATATCCACCGGTCTCTCCTCCATGAATATAAAGGCCTCTGGATTTGTAACAGTATGTCCTTCACAACACTCAAAGCCAGCTTCATTCCCATCAATATTAAATAAAAATTAAAGCCCACTCGATATATGGGAGTGCGCATTGATTTAATATTTCGCCCCAGTAGTGAAAGAAGCCCTTGCTCCTGCACTCAACTTGCAATTTGGAAATAAATTGACTGATTTAGAGAGAGAGAAAGAGAGAGAGAGAGAGAAGAGAGAGAGCAAAAAGGGGTTCCATGCGAACCAAGTCCGCCACCGCTGAGTAAGGTGACATTGCAAAACAAATCACTTGCATGAATATAGAGAAAGAAAACGATTGCTATTTCTGAAAGCAATTTTGTTTGGCGAAGGTGTGTTGATTGCCATGTATGTGAATGTATCGCTCACACGACAGGAAGGGGCACGAGCATTTCATAAGAGTCAATGGCATATTTTTGCTGTTAGCATAAACAATACGAGGACTAAGATTTGCCAGACAAACCATTTTTCCCCCTTGTTCTTTTGAAAACATAATTTGTCTCTCCTCGCGGACCTTTCTGTGAGGTGTCAGATACAGTGTGACTTTCGGTGGCAGTGAATTCCCTGCTCTTAAATTGAGCCTAATGAAGAATAATTAGGTAGTTAAAACGTTGATAAGAGAGCAGCTCAGTAAACAGATAAAAGATGAGTTGGCCTGGAGGAAGAGCTCCAGCTCTGCACGAAATTACAGCACGCATGCGTCACATCACCACTTTTTCAATTTACACGTTTTCCAGTTTTCCAAACCTGGAAAGGCTTATTCTATGGCCTCATTAAAACTGCATGTGGTGAAATGGAAAACGTTACTTAATTGAAATGTACTGTAGATTAATATAAATTCAATATTTAGTTTTGCAACAAGGTATTTTCACTTTAAGTTATGATATTTGTTCAAAGATAATAAAGAGAATCATGCACAGTTGAAGTTAGAATTAATAGCCCACCTGAATTATCAGTCCCCCTGTTTATTTTTTTACCCCAATTTCTGTTTAACGGAGAGAAGATTTTTCTCAACACTTTTCTAAACATAATAGTTTTAATAATTCATGTCTGATAACTGATTAATTTTATCTTTGTCATGATGACAGTAAATAATATTTCACTAGATAATTTTTAGGACACTGATATACAGCTTAAAGTGACATTTAAAGGCTTAACTAGGTTCATTAGGTTAAATAGGCAGGGTAAGTAGGCAAGTTATTGTATAAGATGGTGTAAGGGGCTACTCTTAACATTAAATTGGTTTCTAAAAATTAAAAGCAGCTTATATTCTAGCCAAAATAAAACAGACTCTCCAGAAAATGTATTATCAGACATACTGCGAACATGTCCTTGCTCCGTTAAACATTTGGAAAATGTTTTTTTTTTAACTAAACAAAAAAATAAATAAATCAAAGGGGGGCTAATATGTCTGACTTCAACTGTATCTGGTTCTCCTCCAGAGCTTACTATTAAGGGGGCCATTCAATCATGGATAAAAAAAAAAAGTTAACAACAATCATATTAGGGAAATTCTAACTGCAGATAAAAGTGTTCTTGCAATAGCAATGGTTTAATGGAAACAAGCAGTCCCTTCATTCTTTTCCCCCCAAAAATCTGGTCAAAATCTGGTATTATAAAACACATAATTCCTAATAAAGAAAAAGAAACATATTTCATACATAATATTAAACATAATCATCCATGCAATGATTTTGTTTGTAAGTTCAAGGAAGGTTTTTTACCCTTGTGTTGTCTTTGAAAAATGGAGCTGAAAACAATTCTCCATTAATTTTTTAATTGCAGTTACACAAAACAAATTTCTACTTTTGTGAAGTGTATTATAAATGTATCAGTATAACTGATGAAATAGTTTTATTTATGGATTGTAACTCTGGATTATTTAATAAAAACAAAATTAAAAAATCTCATTTTATTTGGAAAGTTCCACATCCACAAAACAAAATTATTGCTGACTATCAAATTGTAAAAAAAAAAAATGTAATTGATCTAAAAGATTTTATGATTCCTTGACTTCTATACGGAGTAATCTCAAAGCTCTTAAGCCACCCCAACTGCTGAAAAAAAAATTCATGTACTTGATCATTTTTGTTATTAATTCCTTTGTATACTGTTTTATGTACAATTGTGTACGGCTCTGTTTAATCAATTAAAAAAAGTTTGAGTTTTAAAAGATATGAAAAAAAAAAATTATAAAGAGTGCCATGAATGAATTACTAAATGATTTTGTTTTTGACTCAGTCAACGGACTAGGTAGGTCTATTAATTCAAGACTAGACTACATTTATTTTTTATTTTATTTTTTGCAAATTACAGTACATTTACAAATTTTAGAAATATAATAAAGTTGTAAGTTAAATTGATTCTATATGGCATGATTATCATGTTTTTCTCTGACTAAAATGTGTATTACATGTATGCTAAAATATATTGTGTAGCAGTGAGACTCAAAAAAATTATATTTTTGTGAAATTCAAAATATATTTAATTTCAATCTTTATATACGAAAATATCAAAATGTACATCAGGTTCAATAATAATAATAAAAATAACAACAACAACAATAATAATAATAAAAATAATAATAATAAATGTATAACCTTACAACTAAACGTGGATGGATTGTTTATTATTTACAAATTAATTACAAGAAATACATTCTAAAATAGATTATATTTTATCAATAACTGTACAAATTATGTACAGTTATATAAATAGCTGTGATTTTTGCTTGCTATTGTGGCAGTAAAAAACAGGCTTTTCATATATATATATATATATATATATATATATATATATATATATATATATATATATATATATATACATACATACATACATACATACATACATACATACATACATACATACATACATACATACATACATACATACATACATACATACATACATACATACATATATATATATATATATATATATATATATATATATATATAGTTTTATAAATATATATATTTTTAATGACTTTAATCTCATGATGTGGTTCATTTTGCCATTAATTGTCATATATGGTATCCATTTGTCAGTATTTTTGTAATACTTTCGGGTATACGTCTATTGCGTTATTTTACACGAATTGAATTGTCATTTACAAAAGCTATGAATTATGTTGACACTTCAGATCTCAATAGAAGACTTTAAATGATCGCTATAACCAAGACAGCACTGCCATCTACTGGACGAATGTGTGAATAACAACAACAAGACACCTCTATCATTTTACACATCAATAATAATAATAATAATAATAATAATAATAATAATAATAATAATAATAATAATAATAATAATAATCAATATAATTTAAAGAAGATTTCCTTTTCAAAATTTCTGTGCAATGCAGGCTACATTTGGCATTCTGTAAAATAGGTCAGAATTTGTAGGCCTAAAGACTTTCATAGTACAAGATAGTGGAAACTTTATTTGTTTTAATGGTAATCGACTAATTTGCACTCACTGTGTGACATACCTTTCTGATTAAAACCAAAACACACACAAACTGCCTAATTATTGGTTAAAAGTGATGTTTGTGATGCTTTGTTTTGTTTTCCACTGGGTATCCAAAGCAAAAAGTTCAATAAAGAAAACAAGTACTGTACATGTCTCAAAAACAGGTTCATAAGAAGTCAGGAAAATGGATAGTAATTCTGAGAGAGTTTGTGATTTAATGTGTCAATCTAATCTCACCCGGATGTCGGATTAATGTTTTCAGTCATTTCCGCGTCATCGGGACAGAAGAGATGTCGTGATGTTGACGTCCGTCACCGTTTGCTCTGCGGCGTCTTCTCTCTCTCTGCTATCGATATGGCGATTTCCACGTGTCAGAAGATCACCTTCGTCTCCTGCCTCGTCCTCTGCATGTCTTTATTCCTGCCCAGGTTATTTTTACCCAGAGTGAAGAAAGAAGCAGTGCGCTCGGATGGTAAGATCATGAGGCAATGTTATCCCTCACCCTCCATTTACTGTGTCAGTAACGTCAGTGCTGATGTGACCGTCCCTGTGATCTCTGTGCAGGTCCTTTTACCCTCACTTCCAAACTCTCGAGAACCTTATCCTAATGTTGTTGTCACAACACACCTGTCCTTCCTTACTCCTAATGAGTAATTATATGTTTTTGTTTTGTTCATTCCATATTTTGATGTACAAATGGTATTTTACAATGGGAAAGTTTTTTACAAAAATGTAAATAAAATAGATCAAGTAATGAACGTCCATTTAGAGACTGAAGACAAGGACATATATCAAAATATATTCAGTCAAATAAAATATATTTTTATAATGTAAAAGTAACTTTTATAATGAATGTACAATTTTCTTAATTTTATTCAATTGATTTTTAAATATTTAAACAGTTTCGATTAACATATTTTTAAGACAAGACGCTGCTGGCAAAAACATGTCATGCACATGTCAGTTTAGAGGGATTATTATAACTTACATGCAGGTTTTTTTTGGCCTCCATGTAAAAATGCAGACATCCAAAATACACCTTTAATATTTCTTTTGTCACATTTTAGCACTTTGTGTGAGTAGATTTTAATTGCAATTCTAATTTGTTTTTACTTTTTTCTGCAATATGTCAAAATCTTGACTTCAGCAGCACTTATGAAAAACTTTTTAAGTCATATCTATATTCTAAAGGGTTTTTATAGAGGGATTTCATTCATTTTCTTTGGGCTTAGTCCCTGATTTTTCAGGGGTCGCCCCAGCAGAATGAACAACTTATATGTTTGGCATGATGGGTAAAGAAGGATTTGTTCATAAATAATTTACCTGGTTATGCACAACAGTTATTCTACAAAAAGTTATTTTTAAATAAAATGTATTTATTTTTTGTCTGCTTCAGTATTTTCTGAATTATAGAGTGAAAAAAAATAAGAAATGTTCAAGTTTATTTACAGTATTTATAGAGCACATTTAAAAACAGTCACAAGACTGACCAAAGTGCTGTACATAAGACAAAGTAAAATAAAAAGACAGAATATAAAAACATAGAAATAAGACAAGAGAAACGACTGAAAAAAAATGTAAAAATGTAGCAGTAGAAAGGACTATTAAAATTATATTTAAAAGCCAAGCCTAAAAGGTATGTTTTAATAAGTGATTTAAAAATAGACCGTGATAGAGCCATTCTAATCACAAAGGGCAGGGTGTTCCATAATCGAGGACTTGCCACAGAGAAAGCACTGTCCCCTCTATCTTTCAGTCTGATCTGAGGAACTAAAAGAAGATTTTGATCACTTGATCTAAGAGATCTCACGGGAGTGTAAAAATGCAACAGCTCTGAGAGATAGGTTGGGGCTAGATTATGAAGGGATTTATAAATAAGTAAAAGCACTTAAAAACCTATTCTGAATTGGACGGGCAGCCAATAGAGGCCTTTTAAAAGAGGGGTATGTGAACCTGACTTAATAAAATGTTCAGATTTTTGCATTAGAAATGTATACAAATGAATGCAAGTATGCCTCATTTTGTATATGTAAACAACATTCGAAAAAACTTTTGATGAAAAAAGTTTGCAATTCTTTATGTAATCAATTAACTGAGGAAGTATGGTGATAACTGTTTACCCCTCTATTTACATGCAGTCCTTGCTTTAAAAAGACATCCAAAAATATAGATGTAAATGTGTGCACATGTTGAGTGGATTGTATAAACAATATTGATTATAGATTACCTCCTGTCTTTTTTTTTTTTTTCTTGGAAGTTGGACCAGGGCATTTACCTCCATCACGACACATCCATTCACTGTCTGAAGATCATGATCACTGGGATACAGACTCTCATTACATCAAGCATTACAGCCCTGATGCCATTGCCAGTTTCAAAGGTGTTAAAAAGCCCAATCTCCTGGGTCAGGTTATCCCTGTTTATGGCTTCGGGATCTTTCTTTACATCATTTACCTGTTCGTCAAGGTGAGTCGGAAAATCTGGAAATCTTCTCAGCTCAGCAGCCCTCCTGTAATAATAATTAGTATTTACCTAGAGAAAAGACCAAGTGGGGGCTTTAATAGAGTGCAGTAGAGCCTGTCCACTTTTCAGTAGTGCTTGTTGTCAATGCCATTTGTAAGAGCAACAAATAATAACTTGACTTCTAGTTGATCTAGTTGATCGTTTGGAAAAGTGTCAGAAGGTAGATTTGCCTGATCAATCATCCGTTGAACTGCATCCCAATCATCACAAATACTGCAGAAGACCTATTGGAACCCAAATGCACCCAAGATTCTCACTGAAATCAGTCAAGTCAGTGAAGGAAAAATTTACATTCAGTATGGGGGTATGTGAGAGCTCTGCTGAGTGGATGGCAACATCAATATCAAGACATTTGTGCTGCCCATTACATTACAAACCACAGGAGAGAGCAAACTCTTCCGCAGGATAGCGCTGCTCCTCATACTTTAGCCTCCACATCAAACTTCCTGAAAGCAAAGAAGATCAAGGTGCTCCAGGATTGGCCAGCCCAGTCACCAGAAATGAACATTATTGAACCTGTCTTGGTCAAGATGAAGGAGGGGCATTGAAGATAAATCCAAAGAATCTTGATGAACTCTGGGAGTCCTGCTAGAATGCTTTCTTTGCCATTCTAGATGACTTTATTAATAAGTTATTTGAGTCATTGCAGAGATGTATGGATGCAGTCCTCCAAGCTCATGGGAGTCAGACACAATATTCATTCTTTTTCCACTACACCATGACTTTATATTCTATACTGTATATTTTCTGTTAAGTGACAGAAACAATGTCAGATCTTATTGTACTAATTAAATAATTAAAAAACAAGGCATTATCATATATATATATATATATATATATATATATATATATATATATATATATATATATATATATATATATATATATATATATATATATATATATATAAAATTTTTTATTTATTTATTTATTTTTTTTTGTAAAATAAGTGTAATCTAGAGGCCATTGCCTTTCATATAAGCCACTTCTGATACCAAATGAACAATTACAAGTCAAGTTATTATTTGTTGTTCCTAAAACTTGGATAGGCGACAAGATTTTGGCTGGTAGTGTGCGAGTGTGTGTTACTTTTACTTGTTAAGTTAATCAGGTTTCAAGTATTTTTTTTTTAAGGTATACAATTGTTAACTAATCAATTTTTTTGTCATTTTGATTGATATAAGGTGAGATTATAAGAAAAGTCTATTTCTATGTTAAAAAATAAAACGGCAAGAATTTTCTTTACAGTGTTATTGGGATCCTAAAAAATGTATTTATCAAAGCATTATAAGCCACAAACCAAAGTGTATTACATATTTTGCATAAATATACAAAGATAATATATAAATAATATATAAAATAAAATAAAAAATTATACAATATATAAGCTACAGCAATTTTCTGTACAGCATCATGGGTATTGTAGTTTTTTTCATGAATTATGCTATTAAACATGTGTTCAAGATTAATTAATGCCAACAGATTAAACAAACAAACCAAAAAATATATATATAGAGAAAGAGAGAGATAGAGAGAGAGGCGATCAACAGTCTCAGAGCTGAAAAATTACCTTTGTGCAATATCAAAAATAGTAATTTAATATTATTTAATTTCATTACAATTTAAAATCACTATTTCTTCTTTAATATATATTTGAACTCATGGCTTAATCATCTATGGTCAAAGATAAATTTTCAGAAGTCATTACTCTTGCCTTTAGTGTCGCAAGAACCTTTAAATAAATCTTTCTGATGTGCAGATTTCTATCCGGATACTTTTATTAATAGAAAGTTCAAAAGAAAAGCATTCATTTGAAGTAGAAATCTTTTGTTATGTCCCTTCACTGTCACGTTTGAGCAAATTAGTTTAAATGAAAATATCTTAGTATTCATAGCTCTAAAGTTATCAACAGCTGCTGTATTTAAACTAATGCATCTTTTATTGCCATAGTTCTTTTTAAATCTGGTTATGCTTACATATCTGCTCTTAAGATGCAGAATCAATGACGTTTGCATTGATCTTTCAACAGCTGACCTCTAAGGACAAACCTCATCGACAGGGCTGCAGGTTCCCTTTGCTGCAGTCACAATACACATTTGAGGAGATGCGTGAGTGTGCACACACCTCAACCCTAGATTAACAGCATTATACACCTAATTAACATGCTAGATCATCCTAATGCCACTATTTTGTCAAGTTAACCTTTAAAAAAAATTAATCACATTTCTTTCTTAACTTATATGAGCACACATCAGTAGCTAAACCACATGCAACTCCAGATAAGGTAGATTAAGATCCCTTCCAAGACCTGACAAGCTTTGTTCTCTCCCTTTTGTTTGAGGCAGGATTAGCAATCAGAAGTAATGTTTTATAAGCCTAGAAGCTCCTAATACCAATTAACGGCATGTCTTTTGGATCAGTAGTAAGAGGTTTAGCTCTATTCATCAAATAGATGCCAAAGGGTGGAGGGAGCGACTGACGGAGCATCAGCTCTGAGCTCACTCCCTGTATGAAATGCTAAAAACTGTTCCAACAAATTGATAAAAAAAAAATCAAGCAAGCGTTTGTCTAGGTGCAACAATGAGAATACAGAGATCTGGCAGCCACACGTTTGACTGAGTGAATCTGACGTGATTGTAAACCTCCTTCAATTGTCTTCCTGGCAGCTACTTGTCAGTTGGTGCAGCTGCAGGCCAGAATGAGTGAAAAGGCCAGAGAAAAGAGGATATCTAAAGTTGTCCACCCATCTGCCAGGTAAAAACACATCACATTTCTCTCCTTCTACCATCCAACCTTATATTGATCAAAGCGCTGACACAGTCTGCATGCCATTACTGTGAAAAAAGGCAATTTGATGAAGGCGATTATCCTAGGTATTAGTTTAAGCGGTCACACTTTATAATAAGGTTTCATTAGTTAATGTACTGTATTTACTAATAATAAACTATTCTCATACAGAGTTTATTAATCATCGTCTAACATTTACTAATGCCATAAAATCCAAATTCATGCTTTTTAACATTAGTTGATGCACCGTGAGTTTACATGAAGTAACAGTGAACAACTTTATTTCCATGAACTAAAATGAAAAAGATTAATAAATATTGAAATAAATGTATTAATTGTTCATGTTAATAAATACATTACACCGTACAAAATGCAGGGTTCCACACAGTTCATCCATGTTGTCCCAAAACAAATCGATTAAGTTAACGTGATAAATCTAAGTGGATTGAACATAAAACAATTAAGTTGTCCCTCCAAAAAAATCTCAAGAATTGTGTTGTTTCAGCTTATTTTAAAGTAAGTACTTTGAACAAGCAGCAACAATATGTTTTTGAGTGCAGCTAACATTAACTAAACTTTCAAATCTACTAAAAAATATTATATATTCCAAACACTTTTGCTTTAGATTTTCTAGTGGCTTCGCAAAACACGTAATCTACCAGTCATTAGAGTATTAGAGTATTAATACAGTGTCTGCTTAATATCTGCTAATGGGCTCTTCACACAAAATGGTTTTTAAATTCCACTGACCTGCTTTCCAAATATTCCCATATTTTTGAATGTTTTTTGTTAAATATAAATCTCTGTGGGCCGTGTGATAGTTCTTAAGTGACGTCACACTCTGCGGCATCTTTTAGTAAAACAAAAACCCAACCTACTGTACGTACAAAAACTATTTAATGTGTACAGTTTGTTGAAATTCTGCAGATTTTATGTTTTCATTCTTTTAACTCAATTAAGAAGTAACCGCTTTGATGCAGTATATCAATCTTATTACTTGATACAAACTTGATACAAAAGACAGCAAATAAAATCATCACCCACATTCGCAAGCATAATAGTAAAACTTGATGAAATAAAAGTGGGATTGCCTCTTTAAAAAAACACATAACTAGAGTATAACAAGCATCAAGTGTTTGTTTTCCAAGAAATGCATGAACGGTTAAAGTATATTCCTTAAATGAGTAACTTTGGATTTGCCATATACCTACAAACAGTAAAAAATGATAGATTTGTGATTCAGAGACATTTTTTAACACTTTAATTATATCCAATAATAAAAGATGTTCTTTTATTGATTATTCACCTCTAATTACAATTGACAGCTATTTGACTCTCAGCAAGTCTTAAGCCGTGGTCACACTAGAGTTGTGCTTGTGCTTGCAAAATTCTGCCCTACTGCGGCAGGATAAAAACACCTTTGAGCACGTTTACATGGAAACCAACAATCTGATTTTAATGCAGTTAAGACAATACTCTGATTAAGAGTCTACCATGTAAACAGCAATTTTTGATTCCCCTAATCCGATTAAAGTCATAATCGAAATAAACAGAAATGAAATTAAGACATGTAAAGTATGCCGATTTTAGATGAATTATTGAAGTGCAGTACAGACCTGTAAACGCGGCAATCAAACTGATCGTCATGTAGGATTTTCACCACAAATTGCGACAGGATAGTCTGTACACCCACGGCTATTTGACACTATTCTCTGCACCTACCAACTGAGTGAAAGACCACAGACACCTGCATCGCGAAATGCAGAGGGTTTTTTCCAATACAGTGTGCGGTATCATTTATAACTCTGGTCTTATTCAGATTAAGGCAAATAATTCAATTACTGACGTAAACGTAGTCACTGATAAAGTGACTAATGTTTGGCTCCTTATTTTAAAATTCTTTACTGAGAGGTCACGTTTTAATCTTCTGTTGGTCTCATGCAATCACATGATGTAATTTCACAGGTCAGAGTTTACCAAGCTTGAACTTTAAAATGCAGCGAAATGCGAAACTTGTTGCACAAGCTTACATTTCGGGTTTGCTGCAGTTGCATGCGTATGAATGGAAGTCTATGGGGTGAAAAGTGCAGCGTCACCGCAGCTTATACTGTTGGTGGATTGCTTTAATTACTAAAGTTTAACTTAGTTTAGTTTGAGCGTTGCTGTTTCTCAATTACTTTTTTAAAATGATAATTAATAAAAAATATTGTTATATTTAATTAGTTTTGCCATTTCATTACAATGTCCTACATTGCAAAACCAAACAGTGAAAATCACTAAATGAATTAAATTAATAATTAAGTGCATAATATTAACAAGTTTAACTCATAATTTTTAAAAAAAAGTTACTTTGACTTAATACAAAAAGAGTTTTGGCAACTCATATATTAAGCAGAACTCAAACTGTATGAGTTATGAATTAATTAATTATATGTTTTGTGTTAATTAATGCTTTAAGTTAATTTAATATATTTTTATTCTAGTTTTTGTCTACAGCATTCATTCTATCATTTTCTTTTCAGATTAGTCCCTTTATTAATCTGAGGTCACCACAGCGGAATGAACCGCCTGTCTACAGCATATACCAAAATAATATTTAAACGAGATTACAAAGAAGTACACTTAAAATCAAGGTTCTTTATTGATATCACTGGTTAAAATCTATTAACTCCATTAAAAAGTTCATATTTGTATCTAAGAAATAGAAAAAATAACACATTATTTAGGCATCTGAATGGAAAACTTCACACATTTTCCCCCTCAAGACATTGCCATCAGGTCAGCCTCCAAGTTAAAAAGAACGGTCATTCTAGCCGTCAAGGTATTTCGGCGGTCGCTCATGTACTGCATATTACGATAGAGCGCCAAAGAACTGAAGTGAAAACAAATACTAATAATATTATTATTATAAAATAATAATTAACAAAAATACAGTTATATATATAATTGGTTTTGCCATTGCAGTTGCTGTATTTGCATGTTGTTGTCTGACTCACCGGTTCTGACTTTAGGTCACGTCGAGGCACACGGAGGCGAGAGGAGAGGAAACTGAAGCAGTTGAAGGAGATCAGTCAGATGATGCGGGAGAGACAACTGCGAGAGGGAGCGACGCCGGAGGAGGAGGCTGAGGAGGCCCCTTACAATGCAGACTGGGAAGGTATCCCTCAAGGCTACAGTATGTGTTGGGTCCACTGTTTGGTCCTTAGCTTAATTTTGTTTGCTGCTTCCCAAGGTTATCCAGACGAGACCTACCCCGAATACAAAATCCCCTCCCGCAGACGCAGATATCCTAGTGTCATACTGGAAGAACCAGACCAAGTCATACTCACAGCTGAGGAGCTTGCTGAGAGAATGGAGAAAGAAGAAGAAGTAGAGGAAGAGGAGACTGTTGATGACACGTGCGCTAATGAGGAACTAAACCTGGAGGATAATGAAGAGGATGAGGAAGATGAAGAGCAAGAAGAAGAAGATGAGGAGGAAGAAGAAGATGAAGAGGAAGACATCGCAGAGGACCAGCCCTGCCTTCCTCAAAGTTTTGATGAAGATGATGAGGGACTCGAGTATTCAGATGAAAGAGAAGAGAAACCAAGCAGGAGACGACAAATCACCTTCAGCGATCACAGACATGTCTTCCATTATCCAAAGGGTGGCGCTGTTGGCTGCAAGTATGAGACAGAGGAGGAAGAAGAACATGAAGGAGAAGAGGAGGAGGAGGGAAATGAAGAGGATGAAAATGGAGAAAGTGAAGAATGTGAGGAAGAAGAAGAAGAAGAGGAGGAAGAAGAAGAGGAAGAGCAACATGATAAAGAAGAACATGGAGAGAGAGAAGAGAAGGAAGAGGAGGATCCCCTGATGGAGGCAGAAAGCCTTGGATTTAATGATGACGTGGAATGCGATCCTGACGAACAGGAAGTAGACCTGATTGACTTCCTGCAAACCTACCAACCTGAGGTAACCGTCATCTCAAATAAGTCGGAGTCTTCCAAACGTCAAGCCTCTGGGACTCTTAGGATGCGTCACAAGAAAGAAAAGGTGAAGAAGTGACCCACCTGTCAACATAAAACAATGCTGTTCTGTTCCCTTCTAGACCTCTATATCAGGCCCGTAGCCGGGGGGGTTCCAGGGGTTCGAAAGACCCACCCCTCCACTGACAAAGTCAAAATTTGACCCCAATATGAGCTCATTTGTCCCATTTTTGACTGCTATGCCATCATAAATTTAGAAAATGATTGATAAAAGAAAGCTTTAGGAAAAATTAAATTTTAAAAAATAGCTGCAAGCAGCAATTATCGGGACTAAGCAGCCCAGCGGCCACATCATGAACAAGCACAGCAACAAGCTACAGAGCAAATGGAAAATTCTATAACTTTTTGGCAGCATGGTCTCAGCCAAATTTGGTGGGCTAACAATCTATGGAGAGTTCAAATCAACAGATTTTCAAACTAATTCAAGATGGTGGACAGAAAGTCGTATCAATTAGGGAATAAATTATATCAATGTTCTCTGTATGATCCAAGGAATCTGCAAGACCAGTCTCATGACAAAAGATTATTGAAGTGGCAAAATTCCGACTGAGGAAGGTTGAATGAGCTGGGTAGTTTTTATTTGCCCATAGGCTACAGTTTTTATTTTTTTTTAAAGTTAACAGATGATTAAATGATGGATGATGATAATTTCTTAAGTCTTTTTCATCACACTTTATCTTGATAATCCGTTTGTTGAATTAAAGTTACATTGCAACTAATTCTCATTAGATTATAAGGGATGCACAAACTCAATTCCTGGAGGGCCGCAGCTTTGTACAGTTTAGTTTTAACCCTGCTTCAACACACTTACTGGTAGGTTTCAAACAAGCCTGAAGGACTCAATTAGTTTGATCAGGTGTGTTTAATTAGGGTTGGAACTAAACTGTGCAGGGTTGCGGCCCTCCAGGAATTGAGTTTGACATCCTTAAAGTAGACTGTTAGGTTGGGGTTACGGTTGATGTTGGGGTTAGGGTTAATGTAAGCTGACATGTACTGTACTTGCAAAGTTTCTTATAGTCAGTTAAATGCCTCATAACAATATTTATAAAACTCGATAAACTTAGTTTAATTCCAATTTTGTAAATACATTTTTTGTAGTAAAATAGTATGGTGAGCACTTTGACAAAACTGAAATATTTTTGGTGCATCAAAAAATTATGGTCATGATCACCATCCGAGACAAGCTGATGCAGCAAAGATTAGTGCTGAAAATGTCACTAAAATGTACAATTGAATAGAAAATGAGTCAAAAAAATGCAAAAAGGTCAAATTTTTCAGAAACAAACAAAAAAGAACCATCCCTTCAAAAGGCATTGAATCTGTTTGGCTTCAAAAACAGTTTCTCTGTAACCATTCAGGCTTTTCTAGGAAAAAAAAGATTGTTTCTAAGAATGGTTAGGGAACATTTGTAAAGCAAGTTGTGTCATATTAGGCATTTTTAGGACAAGAAGAAACTATCTGCCAATAAATTTCCCTTTAAAAGAATTGGCTTTGTGTGGACATCATTTCAACAGCGTTAAAGTACCGCAAACACAATGATTCAATCTTGAATATTTGAGATGCGAAAATCCACACTCAGATAAAGTTTTTTCTAGTATGAAAATAAGAAAGAAGAAGAACATGCTGGACAAGAAGAGGAGGCTGAAAACAGAGAAAGTGAAGAAGAGGAAGAGCAACATGATGAAGAAGGACAGGGAGAGATGGAAGAGAAGGATCCTGTGATGGGGGCAGAAAGCTTGGGAATTAATGATGATGTTGAATGCGGTCCTGGCTAACAGGAAGTAGACCTGATTGACTTCCTACAAACATACCAATCTGAGGTAACCGTCATTTCAAATAAGTCAGAGTCTTCCGAAGGTCAAGCCTCCTGGACTCTTAGGATGCGTCACAAGAAAGAAAAGGTGAAGAAGTGACCCAGCTGTCAACATAAAACAATGCTATTCTGTTCTGTTCCCTTCTAGACCTCTGCATGAACCACACTGTGAGTCTGTCTCGCTACAGAAATGCTTTCTAACCATTCAGGCTTTCCTAGAAAAAAAATACAATGTTTCTAGGAATGGTTAGGGAACATTTGTAGAGCAAACTGTATCATAATAAGCATTTTAGGACAAAAAAATATTTGCCAATAAATTCCATATGACCAGAATTGGCTTTGTGTTGACATTACTTCTACAGCATTGAATTACCGCAAACACAATAATTCAATCTTGAATATTTGAGATGCGAAAATCCACGCTCAGATTTATTTTTTCATATCTTGAGTACTGTATACAAACACTGTATATTGACCAATGTACACATTTTACAAAACAGCGTGACATAACAGTTATACATTATCACTTTAACACAAGAGTGGTGAGATTTCTTTTCAAACAGATAAAAAATAGCAGAAAAACACATCATTTTCAGTGTTCTTAACCATTTAGAGCGAATGCACTGTTAGAGCATTACATGAAGTATAGAAAGTGCTGGAATGGTATCACGAGGCAGTTAAAAAAAACAAATGTTCAGAACTTACATAGATTTCTTTTCATTTTGGCCAAATAATTAAATATATATATTTTATATTCTTTTCTAAAAAAGTAATATTAAAAATACTTTTCTGGGGAGGATATGACTTTAAAAAAACATGATGTATGAAGCTAGAGTACAACATTATGACAAAATAATAATAAAAGTATGCCATGTGAGGAACATTTCCGGTCTTTATCTTGAATTGTTTCTGACATACTAACATTCTAAACATTACTTTATGTTTTCAAGGTACCGTAAAATGCACTTGTATTTTCTCTCTCCTGTGCGATGGACAACAAATGAAAGGTGCACTCATCAGTTCTGTTTATATTGACCATTAAAATGTGTTTTCTTAAAATTAAAGTAAACTATGCCAAATTTTAGTGTAAAAGGGTTTCAAATTTCTGATGCTCATGCTTATTGTCAAATCAAGCAACAAGAAAAGACCACCTTACCTTTTTTTTTGTCTACTAAAAGAATGTGCTCATTTTGGAATGTGATTTGAGAAAACACAACAAAACAAGGTATTCATATTTTGCTGAACTGTACAAAAAAAAAATGGATTGCTTGCTTTTTTTTTGTATTTTTGTCCATTCACTAGTCCTGGAGAATCACACTGAGCGCTAAAAAGTGATAAATTGTAGAGTGTGACAAAATAAGAGAGAAAAAAAATCTTGAGATGCATGTAAAGGCATGGTAATACCAGGTGGAAATGGAAAAGCATCTTCATTGACTACTTGAGAGCAGGTTACCAAAAAAACATTGTTAATACCAAGTGGAAAAAATTATGATAAATAATTTCTTGGAAACAAATTCATTAAAAATTTAATGGTGTAATGCTGGGTTCACACCATATGCAAAGCACTGTGTCACTTGCTCTAGACTACTCACAAAATGTTTTTTTCTCTTTAAGTTGAATTTCTTTGAACTTGTGCAATAAAATGCGATTGAGGCACCTTCTTCAGGTTTGCATTGACTTTGTATGTACTGTAATCTGATACTTAGAGGGGTAATCCACCGAAATATCATATTTTAAACTTTGTGAGCTACATGTGTAATGTAGCTGTTTGAACATAAACAACATATCTGAATGTAATATGCTCAAAGTTCAATGCAATTGGAGACATTCGCTGTTGCAGAGTTAGCTTAGCAAAGCCTACAGCGAACAAAGTTTGAAGACTACAAAAAAAATACATCCGGGTTAGTGAGATCACAATTGCTTCGGGTTATGCACATACACCCAGCAAGCAACAAAGGGATGTGGCCAGAGGCGCTGTAATGTAATGTAGCAGAGAAAGCTAAAATGGCGTCCAAATGCTACTATTTCCACAGAGCTTATTCTGTTTCTGTATTTGGGCTTTACATTTTTTATATAAAAAATTATAAAATATATATGTAGTAAGCATTTGACAAAGGACAGCTTCCAGAATCTTTCCCAGTTCAGTGCTTGATTTGGCTAAAAATACGTCCAACCGACAAAGCTGTGGATTGTGAGCCACAACCTTTAAGTATTTGTATTTGTTAAAATCGATCAATTAAGTTTCTAGCGTTAATGGTATGTTGTAGCGAGGACGTCAACAAGGATGTAAACAACGGAAAATGCTGTTTGGCACCGCTAACAATTTAGCTACAAATTCATAATTATGCATCAAATGGCTGTAAACACCCACAATCTTCAGCAGAGCTGCAGTGTCTCTGTATGCAGACATCTACATCTTCCCTGTCTTCTACATCTCAAATAACAAACTCGCAAAAGATATGTGAAAGTTCCATATTACTTGCACATGCTTATTCCGAATAAATGTGAAAGACACTTTCGGAGCAGGCGTGAGGTTCAGCTGTGTCATTTTCTGTCTGATTCAGGCTCAAACTGATACAGCTAACAGCTACTTTAACTGACAGTATTTACATAGCACAAAAGCGAGTGCTTGTAGGGGCATGATGCTTTTCCTGGTGACGTAAAGCCGATCAGCGAATCACAGAACATTATGTTATCTGGCCAATCAGAGCCTATTGAAGGCAATCTTTCGGAGGAACTAGGGAATATTTTTCGTTTTGATGTTAGCTGAGTAGCTGCATATAATCAAAGATAAGTGAAAAAATAAGGTGATTTTCTACAAGTGAAGCATGAGCACACATTGCTTCTTATAAACACAAACAAACCTTAAAAATACACTCTGGATCACCCCTTTAAATTTGCATTTGGTTGGAACCCAGCATTCGATTTTAGACCAAACTTGGTCCTGGAGTGCCGGTGTCCTGGCGAGTTTAGCTCCAACCTTAATCAAACACACCTGAACCAGCTAATCAAGCTCTTACTAGATATACTAGAACAGGGGTGCCCAAACTCAGTCTAGGAGGGCCAATGTCCTGCATAGTTTAGCTACAACTTCCTTCAACACAACGACCTGGAGGTTTCTAGTATAACTTGAAAGAGCTTGGTTAGCAAGTTCAGGTGTGTTTAATTGTAGTTAATACTAAAATTTGCAGGACACTGGCCCTCCAGGATCGAGTTTGGGCACCCCTGTACTAGAAACTTCCTGGCAGGTGTGGTGAAGCAAGTTGGAGCTAAACTCAGCAGGACATCAGCCCTCCAGGACAAAGTTTAGACACCCCTGTTTTTGACAATGGCATGATTTTGCTGTGATGTTCAAATGTGACTGGAAGGAAAGAAACTATGCTAAAAATAGGCTAATGTGTGCTAGAGCAGAGCTATTAACTCGGTCTAGCCATCCGAATACGTCTAAGATGCTATAAAGCAACAGGTTTTTGGATTTTGCCGGTTATTCTGCCACACATATAATACAATTTCACATATTTCCCTTCTTCATTCATCAGTATTGTTTAGCAAAGACAAAAGTGTACCATTATGTTATGTAGGCTATTAGATTTTTGTGTGTGTAAATTCCACTGACACATTGTTAGATCCACATTTTCCACAACTACCCTCATGCAGCAGGGAATGTAAGAAGACTTGATCAAACTGTGTTGCTCAGTGTGTTTACATGCACAGTTGTAACTGAGCTATGATCAGCTTCTGTGAGTCCACGTTTTCACCGTTTTACACCAGCAGAATGTTACTGTTTGAAGTGCATGTAAACACACTAGTCATACAATATTGTGTCAAATAAGCAGCCTCTCAATTTTTGGAACTAATCCACAAGCAGGCAAATAAACCTGATCATTCTAGAAACTACTGGAAATACACAAGACAGAAGCTGCGTGATGGCTGAAGAAAACAGATGTAGCATCTCACCAACTTCAAGCATCACAAGTGTCTCGTCCAAAGGCACAATATTTACAGCTTTCCACCATTAATCTCTGAATAAAGTGCTCCATTCAGTACACCCCCACACAAATGTAGTGGGTTAGTATGAGATGATAATGTACAGTACTTACCCTGATATTGACCCTCACGCACTTCTGACACCATTTAGAACTTAGTGGGCTTTCAGAACAGTGCAACTAGGGCCTTGTTTATAAAATGTTGCGTAGAAATCATCCACTGCTTGATCTAAGCTTCTTTCTTAATGTGCATGCACATCTGATTCAGAAAAACAGACGGACAGTATACATAAAAGTGTGCATGTCTCCCTTAAAGATCAATGACCTTGAAACTAGTTTTACTTGTACCTTATAAATCGAACACCAATCAGCACTGTGAATGGCTCCTTACAGAAAAACCACATGAGCTTCACTTGAAACAAATCACATGAAACAAATGTGAAACACTAAAATAAAATGTTTGATTTTGGAAAATGTTTTACAGTATGTTAGAAAAAAAAATGAAATCCATAAAACGTTTGATTTTGTAATGTTTTTACAGCATTTAAGATTCATTCATTCATTTTCTTTTTGGTTAGTCACTGAACAATCTTGGGTCGCCACAGCGGAATGAACCACCAACTTATCCAGCATATGTTTTATGCAGCTAATGCCCTCCAACTGCAACCCATCACTGGGAAACACCCATACACTCGCATTCACACACACTTATACGCTATGGACAATTTAGCTTACCCAATTCACCTATAGCCCATGTCTTTAGACTTGTGGGGGAAACCGGAGCACCCTGAGGAAACCTACTGCAACACAGGGAGAACATGCAAACTCCACACAGAAATGTGGGAGGGATAATACAAAATGCATAAAACATTTAGTTTTAAAACATTTTTACAGTATTTGGGGGGGGGGGGGAATAATACATAATGCATCAAATGTTTAGTTTTGTAACATTTTTACAGCATTGGGGGGGCTTGGGTTGGTCAGGAATAATATAAATTGCATAAAATGTTTGTTTTTGAAACACTTTTACAGTATTTGGGGTAAAAATAGTACGAAACGCATAAAAAATTTGGTTTTGTAACAGTTTTACAGTATTTTGAACAAAAAAAAACTACAAAATGCACAAAACGTTTGCTTTAGTAACATTTTTTGCAGTATTTGGGGGGATAATACGAAACGCATAAAACATTTGGTTTCGCAACATTTTTACTGCATTTGGGGGGGAATAATATGAAAAGCATAAAATGTTAGATTTTGAAACATTTTTTACAGTATTTGGGGGGGAAATAATACAAAACGCATAAAACATTTGGTTTTATAACATTTTTACAGTATTTGGAAGAAAAAAAACTATACGAAATGCATAAAAAGTTTGCTTTTGTGACATTTTTGCATTATTTATGGGGGGGAAGGGGACAAGAATGAAATGCATAAAACGTTTGGTTTTGTATGATTTTTGCAGTATTTGTTCAGGGGGAAGGTAGGAGGGCGGGATGGGACAAGAACGAAATGCTTATAACGTTTGGTTTTGTACAATTTTTCACTCATTTTTTTATTAAAAGACGTTACAAATCCAAATGATTCATGTGTTTCATACTCGTTACATGTGTGTTTCATGTGGTTTCATATGTGTTCCATGTGAAATTTCTGTAAGTGGCAAAAAATGCTCAGGTTCCCAAATACTCAGACTCTGCCATGATTGAATGTGTGAGGGTCTGCTCAGCATTGTTCCACATCAAATCTGTTCCTACGCATGTTTTATAAACGAGGCCCATGGCGTGAACCTCAATATAATGATATAAAAGCTTTTTTGTACCTCATGTTCCCTTAAAAATGTAAGTGTGAAAAACATGGACTGATGATGACCACCTTTGCGTCATGAGACAGTCACACATTCATCAGTTGAAGTGAAATTAATCCACACCAAAAGCTCAAAGGTGCCCCAGTCAAGATTTGAGCTTGAAGCACAGTTAATTATGGGCATGGGGTAAAACACAAGCAGCAGATGGCATGAAAATCTATAAATACATAAATAGTGGATAAATATGTCAGACTGTCATACTGGCTTTGGAGTCCTTCTGAAGCATAAACTGTTATGTCACAAATCTAATTGATGTTGCATGACACAAGGGACATGTACAACTGAAGAAATGTCACATATGACAGTCATTTTACAAAAGTTCATTAAATCAAATATCCAAGCTGTTATAAATCACAGCTACAGTATGAGTTGAACGGTTAGTGAATGTTAATTCTTTTAGAATTATGACCATGGCAAAATTAATTTAAGGGACACAAGTACTACCGTAAAAAGATCCTTCTTTTGAACATTAGCAAAATGTTAGTTTTACCTTGTCGGATAAGTAAAGAAGCGACTAGGTGATCGATTCAAATGAATGCATTTGAACTGCGAAGTCTTTGTGCTTTCCCCCAACCGTGATCCCCTTTTCCTTTTCAAAAAGCAGAAACGCCACCTCGCTCGCACATATTCACACAAAGACGAACTCTATACGCATTCAGGCCTCCAAAAGAGGATGTTGAGAGCGGGACCCTACTGCCTTGCAGTTCAGCGCAGCCCTTTATTGGGGGATTGTAAAGCGGTCTGGCCGGGTCCTTTCGTGGCTGAGGCGGGCAGAGAAAGATGGCTACTCACAGGCTAGCTTACTGTCAAAGCTGGACAGAGCAATAGCAAACGCCTGCAGGGCACACATAGGGTAGTTGTAGTCCATTGTGAAGACATCCTCTGCGACACGACCAAACTGCATCACAATGTAATCCGCTGCATACACACAAGACAGAATGCAGTTATAAGAATGCCTTATAAGAACACCTCAATCATATTATTGTCTTATTCAGATTAAGGCAAATAATTCGATTACTGATGTCCATGTAAACAAAGTCATTGAATCATCACCTCATTCAATTAGTTTCAAACAGACTTAAGGAGACTTAAGCACACCAGAAGTGCCACTTGGAAACGCGCCTCATAGCGACACGCAGCGCCATGCATTTTAAAATTCTAAACATAGGTCATGTCTGCGGCGTCCAGCCACCACTCAGAACACTGTTCATATTTCTGCCGCACCACAAAACGCCACCTGATTAGTCTCATTTTAAACAGCATGCGAATGTGCACGTCTGGTGTGCGATACTTTCATACTTTCAACTGTCAAGTGTGCGCCGTGTCGCATCGCTGATCGGTGCATCCGGTGTTTGATGCCCTTTAAAACCTGTTGCCTTTCTGAGATGTACAACTGTTCCAGCTCTGGCTCATGTGGAATTACTTTTGCTGGTGAAACTTCGTATTCACTTGCTTGTCGAATTGTTGTATAAAACCATGTAAGAACTGACAATGCTGATTCACACAATGTAAAAATAACATTGGCCTTTTATTGCATATGAAAGACATTGCAGGCCCCTAATTGTAGTTTTCTTATAAGATTATCTTTAGATATTCTTTTTATAGTAGAAATAATTTTTATATTCATGTGTTCGGTTACAACTTAAATTTTAGTTGAAGATAATTTTGGACTCACGGTCATTGTCATGAATGATCTGAAAGTTTTTGACGGATGCTTGTGTGACTCTGCCATGGAAGTTGAGCACATACGACTGAGTGTCATCGTTCCACACCGGCGTCTTGTTGTGCAGCTCTATCACACTCTCTGTGCTTTTGTTCTGCCATCGAGCCAGCAGAGACTCGTGTTCCTGTGACAGACAGATGTAGACGGATTACATTTCCATTAGAGAGGGCATCTTTACTAAAGCTAACATCTGCGTTTCAAATATAGGTCAAAGGTTACTGCTTTGCTCTGACTATTGTTTGCCACTGGCCTACAACACGCATGATTTCAGAATCAGCATGTACAAACACACAGATTTTTTTCAGTTTTACAGGAGGTCACGCTACAAACATACATGTTAACAAGAGAGGACAGAAAGAACATTTAAGGACATTTAAATAGGTGGAAAATTACTGATACATTATACTGGTCATGTAACACAAATGACAAACATGCTGAAAATGATTGTTAACTAAAAATTATTCATGTAAAAAGTCCATTTAAAGCCTCTTTAATATTATATCAAAGTACACATTTGATCAATCTTTTCTTCAGAGATACAATTTCGGAAGTGTTTTTGTATTTTCAAAATGCTAATTATTTTCTTGTTGATGATCCTAGTAGAAACAAATGAAGCAACATTAAATATTATATTATATTATATTATATTATATTATATTATATTATATTATATTATATTATATTATATTATATTATTATAGAAGAAAAATAAATGAAAAAATTACACATTATACACTCATATTATGAAATAATTTTGTTTTGCTCTTTCACATACTTGTACACTTTGCATATGAGTTACTGTAGATATATTACATGCTAAATAAATAAAGAAATATATTTATAATGAATAACAATAATAAATTATTAAATGAATGAGATTTGATCCTGAAAAAAATACCAGTTAGAAAAAAATACTTAGAATAGGATATCATATTATATTATATCCGTAATATCATTTATCACTAATTACTTTTCTGCATACTAGTTCTACAGCAAAACAAAATAATAAATAAATAAAGACTTAATTAAAATCATTAAGGCCTATTGATACACAACTGTTTTTAACTGCCTGCACTCACGTTTCGAGGCCTGATTGAGACTCTTTCATGGTCCATGTTCATTCCGGGAATAATGACACTCATCTTTCGAGGCCCCTTGAATCCTAAAACATTAGTTTCCTGCAGGACAGAAGACAAACAAACACTCACTTCTGGATTAGTCATAATTATCACGCTTGCACATACAGTACATGTGACTTTCACACATTTCTTGTGCAAATTCTCATTGCTGTGTAAAACATCACCAGCAGAGGTCAGGCTTGGCTCATCAGTGAGCTTATGGCCGTGAGACGTTGTGGCCACAGGGTGGCTTTTTTATTCTATTATTTTAATTAATTTATTTTCATTATTCTAAGAACAACAACAGGATAATTGCAGAAAATAATAATAATAATAATAATAATAATAATAATAATAATAATAATAATAATAATAATAATAATAATAATAATAATAGGGCAGCACGATGGCGCAGTGGATAGCACGTTTGCCTCACAGCAAGAAGGTCGATGGTTCGAGCCTCGGCTGGGTCAGTTGGCGTTTCTGTGTGGAGTTTGCATGTTCTCTCCATGTTCACGTGGGTTTCCTCCGAGTGTCGGTTTTCCCCACAATTCAAAAAACATGTGGCATAAGTGAATTGAGTAGGCTAAATTGTCCGTAGTGTGTGTGTGTGTGTGTGTGTGTGTGTGAATGAGTGTGTATGGATGTTTCCCAGTGAGGGGTTGCTGCTGGAAGGGCATCCACAGCGTAAAGCGGTTCATTCCTCTGTGGCAAACCCAGATTAATAAAGGAACTAAGCCGAAAAGAAAATAAATGAATTGATAATAATAAATCAATATTAACATGCATTATATTTTATTTATTTTGTTATAAACTCCAATTATTATTTGGACAGTTTATAGTATCACCGGTTTTTATACTATTTTTGTTAGCAAGATGGTGCTATACCCTTGTGAGATTGTGGCATACAAAATATTGTACAAATATTATGATTTTTTCAGGTTCAAACCTCTACTCATTTGTGAAATCTCAAAATCCATGTATGACCCCTCTACAGTCATATCTCACATTAAAGTAAATCTTACAAAATCATGGTGTTCACTAATATTTTAAGAATAAATATGTTTTTAAGATGAATCACTGCCTGACCATCTCATATTAGGCATGGATATAAGCATGATCATTTTTAAAAGTATTAGAGCACATTGTCCGTGTGTAATAGCATCATCTGTTGTTTGCTTTTAGCCTCTGATAGAGCATTTGGACCTGAAAACATCAACCTGAAGAAGCGTATTGAGCAGCAGGGTGATCTCAGACTCACGTAACAGATCGCTGCCAGCTCCTGACGGAGATTCCCTGCTTCTAGACTGGACGTGGTCTTGACTGGGTTCATGCCGCTGTCGTACACAGTAAACTTGGTACCCATAAGGTTTGATCTGTGGAGATGATAGTCACCTTGTTTAATTAATAAAAATTGGGGCGATAACTCAAAATTAATTCAAAAGAGGGTCCCACTTTATATTAAGTGTCCTTAACTACTATGTACTTACATCAACAAATAAATACAATGTACTTACTGTGTTTATAATGTATTTGAGAACACTTGTGGTGCTATTGAGTTGGGATAGAGGTTGGGTTATGGACAGGTTTGGTGGCATGGGTAGGTTTAAGGGTGGGTTAAGGTGTAAGGGATGGTCAGCAGTGTATTTACAAATGTAATTACAAAAGTTAATTATGGATGTAATTACATATATGTATTTAATCAAGCATAAGTACAGAGTACATACAAGTATATACACAATAAGTACATTGTAACAAACTATTAATTCCTGTGTAAGTACATATTAGTTAAGGCCACTTGATATAAAGTGGGACCCAAAAGAGTTATCAATTTTAGGCTCTAATATATACTGTATATATATATATATATATATATATATATATATATATATATATATATATATATATATATATAAATATATAGGATCCCTATATGGCCTTTTTTTTTAGGTATAAACATTTATCTTTTGAGAAAGTACAGCCCAATGACATCTTTTGTAGCTTTTTCCTAAGTCCACATTCTGAAGAAACACATTCTCAATATAGATAAACTGTGCATGTCTAGGTGTACTAAAAAAAAAAAAAAATCAGCACTGTCAACATCAAACTTTACTGACGCAATAACATCTTCAAGTTTTATTTGAAGACTTTCACATCAATACCCTTCCATACTTTTTAACTGAAGTCAGAAACAGTTTCAGTTTAAATCAACAGAGAAAACCTAAAGAATAAAGTCTTTAAGTGGCGGCTATCTAATAAACATATAGCAGTCTGTGACATTCATTTTAATAAAAACAACAAAGGACAATCCCTCATTGTTCTTATTCTGTATTATTCTACATTTAAACAGCCTACTTTATTCAATTTATGTAGTGTTTCTTACATGAATACTAATAGACATAACAGAGTCTTTGTTATGTTGTATTTATTTGTGCTATTGCTTGTAATTTATATAGTTTCTTTTATTTAATTACTGATATTAGTTTGCTTGTCTTTAAAAATAATACTGCAGCATTATAGGATTGTAGTTTTTGTACTTGTAACAATACTGAACCGCAAAAGCAGAGGACTAAACTAATTATATTTTGACAAATACTGTGCTGTTGAGCCACATAATCTATGTTTGAGACTTGGAGAATGTAGTTGTTTAGATTTCAAATAAAAGTTTGTTTATTTTAAGAATAGAATCTATTTGAAATTGTGTTTTGACTATTGATTTGTTTATATATACAGCACTTCTGCTGGCGAAAATACCCACTCTACTTCCTTGCGCCAAGCGTTTTGTGACACTCCATTGTTGCTTTTATTTTTATTTACACACTTATGCCATTGAACCGTTATATAAATGCATCATCACACTCCTACCACTATTATATGGCTGTTTATTACACAGCTCTCTAGAATATTGATTCTGATTTGTCAGTCATGATATTGCACAGTATGTTAATGCCAGATAACAACTGCTGAAACTAATAACACAGGCTCATCGGGGCACTTTGACCATCAGTGAATATGTTCACATCCATTCACTTATACATATACATACCACATACAGTATTATCTGACTGTTTTGACACCATCTGGTGTCTAAATAATCTGTAGGTTAGTGTATGCTCCATCGGTTTCATTCAGCTGTTTCTGCAGCTTTGCGTTTAATTATTTAAGTATCAATAACTATCATGGCTTGGAACAATGTTTTAGGTATAATTTTTTTAAATTTTGTGTGCAAGAAGCCTTATAAAAAGCAGGATAAAGTAAATCCAGTTGGTTGTAAATCCCTTCAAGTCTTATTCAACAGCTTTGTTTCCCAATAACAACTTACTGGATGTATTATCTCTAAAATATATACATACTGATATGCATACTGATTTGTGAAATTTCACTCGGATGCAAAATTTAAAAAATTATTTATTTAAAAACAAGATTAGATCAAGGTTAGATGGTCAAAAATACTGCAAACCACAATTATACACTGCAATATACAGTAATGCATACATATGGTAATGTTTTTTAGTTAATTCAATGAATTGACAGCACTAAACAAAGCTTTTTTGCACTAATAATTATGACACATAAACATACAGCAAATCAAAGGTTATGTTTTTAAAGGTGCTGTATTGATAAGGACACATCTGCACACCAGCAATGAACCCAATCACAGTATTAATCACAGAACCTTACATGAACACAAACTCACTAAAGGTCTTCTCCAGTGTTTAGAAAGAAACACATGACTCTCGTCTCTAAAAGAACAGCACAGATTTGGTTTACACTACCAAATGAATCACATGCCATGATGAATCAGCTTTAAACATACCTCAGTTTGCCAATAAAGCTCTCTCCGCCTCGTGATAGGTCAGTTGGGTCGATGGAGATGAGGTAATTGGATGTTTTGCTCTTCTTTCTCTTCCTCCCGGCTAAAAGGAAAACCTAAAGTGTAACAGAATTTAATTGGGCACTGAACAAAAGCGCAAAATGATCCATATGAGAGAGCTTGCATAAACATTCTGAGAAAGTGTTTTTATATTTGTCATGTGCTTTGAGGAATGGCATAAACAATATACAGTGAGGATCAAAATTAGAGATAATTCCCTAAATGTCAAGATTATACTGACAGGAGGAAGCAAGCATTCTTAAAGCATGTTTGTGACCCTGTATGACAAAATCTAATGTTGCACAGGCACTCATTTTTGGCAGTCAAATTCAATATTAAGTTAATATTACAAAGTATTAATTAAGTTGATTAATTTTCATTAGAGTAATCTATGGGGCGTCACGGTGGCACAGTGGGTAGCACAATCGCCTCACAGCAAGGAGGTCACTGGTTTGAGCCTCGGCTGGGTCAGTTGGCATTTCTGTGTGGAGTTTGTATGAGCTCCGCGTGTTCGTGTGCGTTTCCTACAGTTCTCTGGTTTCCCCCACAAGCCAAAAGACGTGGTACAGGTGAATTGGGTTGGCTAAATTCTGTGTGTGTTTGGGAATGTATGGGTGTTTCCCAGTGATTGGTTGCAGCTGGAAGGGCATCCGCTGCATAAAACATATGCTGGATAAGTTGGCGGTTCTTTCTGCTGTGGTGACCGCAGATTAATATAGAAGGTAAGCGGCCAGCTAGTAGCTAGCCATAGGCATACTGCCTCATAGCATTCGTTTTAAAGACTAAATGCAGCCATACATAGCTCTGGCTACATAATTTGCGCTCACAAAAAATTTATACAGAACTAGGTATTCACAATGAGCCTGTCTTGAGTACATACATACTGAATATTTGAAAAAGTGTTATTTTATTTGGTTAAAAAACTTTATTTGGTTAGTACACTTTTTTTAATGTGACGCTGTGATGGTATTTATTTGACAAATATTTGTGCGGAGCTGCAACATTATGGATAATCATCGTTTATCTGAACGTCCGTGTGGTCTAAATTTAGTTCTTTTCATCAGAATCAATCATTTTAAGCCCTTCAGCAAATTGGAGAAATGGAAAGTTACTGATTGGGCTTGATTGCTGGTGCACAACAATGATGAATTCCAAAGAAGTCAAAGTCTTTTTAAAAGCTGTGAATAATGAGTTTTTGCGCATTTGCCTGACCTTCTTGCCGTCCTCTCTCTCCAGATGGAGGTAGTAGGTGGGGTACATGCCCCGGTCCATGCCCTTCTTATCCCGCGTGATCCTGCATTTGACAGTCACTCCTTGTGGGGCGGGTCTGAGAGTGAACTCTTCCAGGTCATCTACGTCAATGGATGGCTCATTGGCCAACGGGGTGGAAGCTGATGTCGCCTCCTGTCACATTCATTAGACAGATAGACATTCATTCCAGTCAATTATAAATGTACATGTTGAAGTAAATGTACAATTTTCAACTATTATGATAACACAACCATTTTTATAATTTCTCAGCAATCAATCACTCAATGAAAAGATCTGAGATCTCTTTGGAAATGTTTTTAACCTGTTAAAAGTAATATAACAATATTAGAAAATAAATAAATAAATAAATAAACATTTTTTTATTATTTTTTTCCTGGTTTAAAAAAATAAAAAATAAAATAAAATAAAATAAAAATGTTTGATGAATGAATGAATGAATGAATGAATCCAAAGCAATCAATCAGTCAATGAAAAAGTCTGAGATCTAATTGAAAATGTATTTAACCTGCTTAAAAGTAATGTAACAATATTAGAAAATAAATAAATAAATAAATAAATAACTAAATAAATATTTAAAAAAATATTTAAAAAAAAAAATAAATAAAACAATATATAAATGAATGATATTGATGAATGAATGAATGAATCCAAAGCAATCAACAGTCAATGAAAAAGTCTGAGATCTAATAGGAAATGTATTTAAACTGCTAAAAGTAATGTAATAATATATATATATATATATATATATATATATATATATATATATATATATATATATATATATATATATATATATATATATATATATATATATATATATATATATATATATATATTTATTTTTACTTTATTTTTTTTTTTTAAACTTGGGAAAAATATAAATGTTTGATGAATGAATGAAAAGTGTGAGATCTAATTAAAATATTTTAGCCTGCTAAAAGTAATGTAACAATTTTAGAAAAAAAAAAAAAATATATATATATATATTTAATAAAATTAACACATTTAAATACTTTAAAAAAAATAAATACATAAAATATTTTAAAATATTTTTATAAATACTTTTCCCAGGTTTAAAAATGTAAGCAGGGGAAAATATAAATGTGTGATAAATTAATGAATTCAAAGCATTTTGAAACCTTTTATTACACTGAAGAAACAACATACAGTGAAATGTAAATGTAGGCCAGATATAAACAAAAATATTTAATGGATGGATGGATGGATGGATGGATGGATGGATGGATGGATGGATGGATGGATGGATGGATGGATGGATGGATGGATGGATGGATGGATGGATGGATGGATGATAAATCAAAATAATTTACATAAAATTGATTCTAACCAAAATATTATTTAAAATTTAAAAAATATATATATACATTATTTTTAAATCTGAGAAAAGCTACTAAAACATTCTAATTGTGAAACAATTTACATCAAATAATCTAAAATTAATAATTCGAAAGAAAAAAATAAAATTTTGATTTATTTAAAAAATGTTAATCAAGTGGACATCAGTAAGCATGTGAACTCCTTTGTACAGATGGTCAGTTTGCTTTTGTACAGTATAAAATGACAAAAACGCATAATAGAAGTGTTGTCACCAGTACACATAGACGCTTGGACCCTGCTGTAAATGAATCAGACGTCCCTGTGGTCTGAAATGTAAGCAGCTGGGATTAAAACTGAAATGTTAAAGAGCAACAAAGCAGCCCAGTGACGTTAGCAGGGTCAGACTCAAGAGACATGGATGAGCCACTACAGAACCAAATAAATAACAGCCAAATTTAGACTTGCTGGAATATCATGGAGAGCTAACAAATACATAGCATCCTTTACAAAATCAGTCCTGTAGAATAAAATGTACTGAGTGTATATTTAAAATTTAAAATTTATAAATATATATATATATATATATATATTACATTGCTCTTTAGAATAGATTTCCTGCAGTGTGACATATTTTTAGGTGCAAACAGTCTATGTAGCATGCAAACCTATAATACTCAAATAAAGATGCTTTAAAATAAATACGTGCATGTATGCATTACTGCTAATGAAAACCCAAATGCAATTCATTTAACTAATATATTATACTGTATACTATAATTACATCAGTAATAGTTTTACATTTCTTTTCTACACACACTACATAGAGGATGCCAATGAGAAACTAGCAGGAGCCAAGGCTTCAAACAGGCAAGGTTTCCATCAAGTTATTTTAAGAATGTAATCATTTCTCTGTTGCCATAGGAAACAACAGGACTATGACCCTCCATCTCCAGCATAGCAGGCTTTGTGCCAAGAGAATAAATCCTAGCATGACAATACAGACTGCTTGTGTCAGCATTGCACATGTAACACAGCTGGGCAGTGAGGATGGACACACAAACACACACATACGCATACACAGAGATGGCTTAAAATAGCAGCCAACCTTCAAAAACCAATAATCAAAGGTCAAAACTAATTTAGCGCAAAATAGCAACTAATCAAAGAGTCTTTAACCTTTTACTCTGCACTAATTTGTTGCATATTAAACTACACTTAATAATAATAATAATAATGCATGTAGGTATATTGTGATGCTTTGACTGCATATTCTATAAAATATTCATTTGTATCTATGGTATATTTAACTGCCATCTGCATTGATTTACAGAGTTATATACATACTGGCATAGAGGCATTATTACGGTGGCTGGGAAGTGCAAAACAACATTACAAAGAGTGAAACACTTTTACGAACCTCAAGACAAATTTGCACTTTGGAAAACATTCTTACCTATCTTAAGACACAATTACATAGGAAAAATGATTTTACCAAGGAAGAAACAAATTGACAGTTTAGAAAAAACGAATTAACAAGACGCAAAACACTTTTACCCGTCCCGAAACAAATTTACAATGACAGATTCCTTACGGAAAGGAAATGTAGCACACACCAGAATTGAAGCGGATTGAACCACACACCAGAAAATATCAGCTTATGACTATAAAAAACAAGGTTTTGTTATTTAGAGCTATTCTGAGAAAATAGCGTGAGCATATGTAGAAACATGTAAACGCGAGTATATGAAACAAGTTAACAACCAAAGCACAGTACATGTTGACTAATAAAGACATTAAAACCGACTTGAACGTGTAGTTCTGATTAGCTAAGTTAGAGAGGTTGATTGATACTCGTGCTGAATGTTTTGACTTGGGTTCGAATCCCATTGATGACATATGTCAATTGTAGTTATTTCTTTAAATTAATTTTGGTTACATACTGTTCTGCTACACGGATATTAAAATCAATAACGTTTACAATGACACTGACACCAAGTATTAAGAATATTTATTTGGTATGGGCATGTTTTGCTGCTGTCAAAAAGTGATGAATCTGTCAATGTGCAAACGTGAATAGTTTACATCTGGAAAGAGTCACCAGTTAAAACAGTCACCAGTTAAACCGTTTAACCGGCTTCATTCAATTTACTTTTAAGAGTCCCCAAGCAATGTTTACACCGTGTAGACTTGACATCATGTGCATGATTACAGCATACGAGTGGTCCTCGTCAAAATATTGAACACATTGACGCAGTATTTCTTGTGTTTTTATCTGGTCCACGTCCTTTAGAAACTCCAAACACAGACCACACGTAAAGCAAAACCGTGTTAAGCTGCTCGTGTGTTTGCCATAAAACTGGCAAAACATCCCTCGACTGCAGTCCATGTTCAGTCACTATAAACTTTATTTATGCCCTGTACTCCACAACATAAATTTACAGCGCTTACCACCATCGACAACAACAATTTTTTTAACTGCATTACTTCCTGTGTGGTACATTCCCTTTTCGTAAGGAATCTGTCATTGTACATTTGTTTCATTCTTGGTAAAATCGTTTTTCCTATGTAATTGTGTCTTATGATAGGTAAAAATCTTAAGTCGTTGAATAATTAGAAAAACAACGCACAACTTTGGTGTTATAAACATTCCTCAGAGACTTTGCAATGCTATCATGTCAATATAGACATTTCACAGTTGTTATGACGTGATTCTTTCTTTCCAACTGTGGAGGCCATTTGAGTCTAGCTGATGGGGAACAGGTGAGTTTATAATCAGCACAGATGATTATAGGGAATGTAGTTCAGGTGAATGGAAATGGGTGATCCAGGGCCTGCAATTTAGCATGGACAGAGGGGACATGTCCCCACCAATATCCACCAACTATTAAAATGTGCCCAAAAATAATTTAATTCACTTTAAAAAAATGTACTGTCAACATTAACCTGGACATGCAGAAAGGGTTAAATCATGTTCTCTCCTCGAGTCGCACCGCCCCCAAGCGTATATGAGTATTGTGATTGGCTGTAGGTGTGTTTAGATGTAACAGAGCCAAAACTGCACAGGGCAATTTACCTGTGCTTGAATAAGGTGTGTGAGGTGTGTAACACACAAGTGAGTATGGCAGCAGCAAACAATGATGGACATATGGAGCTTTTTTCAATGAAAAGTGTAGATCACATAAAATCAAGTTTGCTACTGAACGACACCATCATGATAATGCCATTAATGCTTGTGTTTTTTCCCCCGCTTTAACGCACAGCCTAACGGTATAGCAGACTAATATAGTCTGTGAATAATATGCCCTGAAAACTAACTGCAGAATAAACAGCTAAATGTAACAGTATAAATATGATCCCTGCCAGTTCTCCTAATCTCTCAGAGTAACACAGCAAATTTCAGTTGAAACTATTTGTCAGAAAATCTACAACCTGTGTTCCCGCTACTTTTATTAATAAGGATATAAAGTTGAAGTCAGAATTATTAACCCCCTGAATTATTAGCCTCCATTTATTTTTTTCCCAATTTCTGTTTAACGGAGAGAAGATTTTTTCAAAACATTTTTAAACATAGTAGTTTTAATAACTAATTTCTAGGTTAGGGTAATTAGACAAGTTATTGCATAATGATGTTTTTTTTCCGAAGACTATCAAAAAAATATAAACCCTAATGGGGCTAATAAATTTGATCCTCAAATATTAAAAAAAAAAAAATTAAAACTGCTTTTATTCTAGCCAAAATAAAACAAATAAGACTTTCTCCAGAGGAACAAAATATTATCAGACATACTGTAAAAATTTCCTTGCTCTGTTGAACATCATTTGGGAATAATTTAAAAAGAAAAAAAAAATCAAAGGGGGTTTAATAATTCTGGTATCAACTGTATGAGACATGTTTCATTTGCACTATGACTAAAATAAATGGAAGTCTTTATTAAAATCTCTATCAGTTAATAAACATTCTTTTAACATGACATCACACTATAAGGCCTGTAGCCTTACAGTGTGGTTATTTTTTTGTGAAAAACTGAACCTTTTTGCATTTAATTGCCTAATTCTCTATTTATAAGATATAAATATTGCATTTTAGAGACATTTAAGAACAAATTTTTGCTGGATCATCTTGTCAGGAAGGTTATCATAACTACAGTTTTTGATGTACAAAAAAAAAAATTGATTAAAATATTTCCTACCATTTTGTCTAATTGCTTACCATACTATATTAGTGTTTATTAACAAATTTGCATTTAAACTAAGTTTTATATTACAGTTTTATAAATAATCAAAATTCAGAGTAAAGAAATATGAAAAGATACTTATTTTTAAAATACAAATTTGTTATTGTCTATCATTAAAAAAATGTTTTAAAAATCTGTTAAAACCATCTACTGCAATTAAAGGTGCTGGATAAGTTTGCGGTTCATTCCGTTGTGGCGACCCCGGATTAATAAAGGGACTAAGCCGACAAGAAAATTAATGAATGAGTAAATGAATTAATGAATTAATGTTAAAACTTGTTAGTTTAAGTTAAAAACTGAAGCCTACAGGCAAATACAATATACATACTATGTTCCATATTCATTCTTGGAATGGGGGGCTTTGTTTGATTCACCCGTCCCCACCATAGTAGGTGCAAACCCTTGGGATTTATCTTTTGTAAACAACTATATACTGTTATCATTAATCATGCATTTAATTGATTAATTGACTTATTAAATAAAAATATCATTACTCTTTACTGTTACTTTTGAACAGCTGTATAAACTATATATTTTTCTACGTTTCTCTCACAGCAATGAATGTGTACCTATAGTGACCATGCTTTGTGTCCCTCTATCCCTCCTTACTGTATCTGCTTCTCATACTGTGTAAAATAATCAATGTCATTTATTGACGAAATTAATAATTGACCTCTACATAAGCAATAAAAGCAGGAATCTACCTTGCTGGACTTTTTGCTGGTGGCAGAGCCAGGTCTTGTGTTGCTGTTGAGCTGAGATGAGCTTGAGCTGACCAAATCATCTTCGTCCTCCTCTTCATCGAAGTTCATGCTACTTGAGATTCCTTAGAAGAAGAAGAAGAAAAAAAAATATTGAGTCTCTAATCAAACAGTGTGTGGATAGCAGAACATGAGGACAGAACAGCAGCAGGCATAAAGCAAACATGGGAGACATTATGCAGCGCAAACAACACTGCAAACTCTGATGCCAAGAGAGCATATGGCATGAAATTCAGCAGACGTAACAAACTGAGTACATTTGGGTAAAAAAAAAAAAAAAAGAAACTCTTTACTCTGTTCAACAAATAAGCAGAGAAAGAGATGCACTAGGACTAAATGATTGTCTAAAGTCCAGATCGGCTCATATCGGTTCATGCAGACAATAAAGACATTATCTGATCCAAACATATCATTGAAGGAGGAGAGAGAGGCAGACCAAGAATTCCCCATCAGTCATGTAGTTACCATAACTACTGGCTAAAAGTATCTTATAGCATATGCATACCAAAACGTCAAAACATTCGACCGCTTTGTTTGGACGCTTACTAACAATCTTCCGTGCGACTTTGACTTTTAGTTTGACTTTTTAGTCTCATTCTGTTAGTAGTTATTAAATCATGTTGCTTTTTATTACAAAGACGATGTTTTCATGTGCAAGTTAACATGTAAACTTTGTAAACATAAGGTCTTTAGAAAAAAATGTGATATAAAAAATGGATAAGTATCCATAAATCAACACTATATTGTGTCGTTGATCTAAATTTGCTCCAAGGTGTATTGTTAAGTAAACCCTTACCTTTCCAAATAAATTGGGATGTACAGCAATGTACACTACCTGACAAAAGTTGTAAGAGCAACAAATAATAACTTGACTTCCAGTTGATCCTCTGGAAAAGTGTCAGAGGGTAGATTTTTCAGATGAATCATCTGTTGAACTGCATCCTAATCATCACAAATACTGCAGAAGACCTATTGGATCCCGCATGGACCCAAGATTTTCACAGAAATCAGTCAGGTTTGATCAAGAAAAATCATGGTTTGGGGTTACATTTAGTATGGGGGTGTGCGAGAGACCTGCAAAGTGAATGGCAACATCAACAGCCTGATGTATCAAGACATTTGTGCTGCCCATTACATTACAAACCACAGGAGAGGTCAAGTTCTTCAACAGGATAGCGCTGCTCCTCATACATCAGCCTTCACATCAAAGTTCCTGAAAGCAAGGAAAGTAAAGGCACTCCAGGATTGGTCTGGCCAGCCCAGTCACCAGGCATGGACATTATTGAGCATGTCTGGGGTAAGATGAAGGAAGAGGCATGGAAGATGAATCCAAAGAATCTTGATTCCTTTTCCACAGCACTGTGACTTTATATTCTACACTGTACATTATTTCTGTTAAATGACAAGACTTTTGTCTAGGCAAAGTCAGATCTAACTGTCCTACTTAGATAATTATAAATCAAGCCATGATCATATTTTATTTTGGTAAAATGAGCATAATCTAGAGTCCTTTGCCTTTCAAATTAGCCACTTCTGATACCAAATAATCGACTAGAAGTCAAGTTATTATTTGTTTTTCCTAAAACTTGCATAGGCTACAAGACTTTTGTCAGGTAGTCTGTGTGTGTGTGTTGTTATTACACTGATATAAGTATATAATCTGTTTCTAGTAGGTGTGTTGTGTTCTCGTAACACAAACTTAGCAAATACATTCTTCCTGAGCTTTCCACTGAAAAACAACTAGCTACAATCGTGACTTGAGGGTTATACACTGTTAAAAACTGTTGATCATTTACAATATTAAATGAAATAAATTTTACTTAACAAGTATTTTTAACCTACATCAAATAAGCTGACCTAAAAGATCAAGTTAAAATTTGTTTAACGTAATAATAAGTCGATAAACTGATGAACTTTCTAAAGTAAGTTAAAGTAAAAACATACAATGTCATGACTTTTTAAATTACCCAATTTATTTACAGTATAGTTTTGGACTGATGTTTAGATTGTCAAGACTTCTCAGGTTCTATTTGATTTAATCTATTCATAAACACTGATAAGTTGAACAATTAGCATCTTAGTAGGCCGATGTCCTGATGCCGGCTAACAGGCTTTAAAAGCTATAGCGCGTAAGTAGATCTTAAAACGTTAGTCGCCAGATGATGATATTACAGGAACATGATGTTTTTAGCATGTTAGGAGATCACTGCAAATCTGCATGGCTTAATCGGGACGAGTCTCTGCCCATCTGTCTCTCTCTCTCTCTCTCTCTCCACTGGAGGACTATCGCTGGTGTACCTTTCTTCAGCATGGTGACCCGAAGGTCCTGTTTGCCCTGTGAGTGTGTGCTGCCCACTGCCTCCCCCTGGCCCTCTGCCTCGCTCTCCTGGGCGGGTGAGTGGCCCACGGTCAGGATCTGAATCTGGTTGCCCAGCTCCTGACCCTCATCCTGGAAGGCAGCGGGCCCATCAATTCCTGTGGTACCACCACAACACAGCAACACTGTTAACTCAACCGTCCTGTATGTTCACTGTATTTTGTGGGTGTTACAAAATAACGACGTTCATGAAAATATGCAATATCCATATGGAGACAAACATTCAAATCTGAATGGGGGAATGAATTGCTCTGCATTGATGGTCTTTTGATGGACCAGGGACATGTTTACATGACACTATTTTCAATAAAAAAATATATTGTTTTAGTCTTTCATTTCATTTACATACATTTTTGAGCAAGTTTATAATAGTTTGAGATTTTTAATTTTAGTTTTTATTTCGTTTTGACTTTGTTTTCAAATTCAGCTAGTTTTAATTCATTTTTAAAGGTAGATATACTAGTTTTTATTACTTTCTATTTTTTTAATTGCTTAGTTTTAGTTTAGCTTTTAATAGTTTCAGTATAAGTTTTAGTTTTTTTGTTTGTTTTTGTGTAAATTGGCATATTTGTGCATGATTCAAAATCATCAGAATAAATACTGTATAATAAAAAGTCAAACAAAGATAAGGCTACATTTTTTGACACAAGAACAATACCATCTACCACTACCATCTACCCATCCTCAAACTCAAATACAACAGCCCACAAGACAGCAGCCTGAAGTAAAATATGTGTGCAAGACTCTGTAACATGAACTCATGTTTGGACTCAACATATCAAAATTATGTAGCCAGCAATTATTTATTCAGTCAGTTAAAACATCACCATAATCTGAAAAGTTTCTTACAATTATGTTTTGCAACCCACCTGAAGCATGATTAATTTGTTTAAATTCCATTACGACTTTCTGTTACGAAATAAACTTACGTTTCACTGGATCCTCTCATTTAACCTCTCGGTTTACCCGCGCTGCAGTTGTTTAAGTTTGGTTCAGTCACAGCAGGCTGTCATGTACTGTTTGTGTGCGGTTCACTGAATCATGCATGCGAAGTATTATTGGTTTACCGCTTCTCAAATCTGATCTCAGTGTACTGGTTTATTTTGAGTCAGACGAGGGTATCAGGCATGTTAAAAAGTAAGTAGAATGTAGATAAGTGCTTACTGGAGACGCATATCATTTCAAATAATTTAGTTCTATTTGGTGAATTACTGTAGTTCAACTGTTTCACCTGGAATATCTGATTAAAAAGAAAGATTCGTTTACGATCAGGATCACTAATAAAGAAATAAAACTCATAATTGGACACAAATGTGTTCAATTAATACTTTAAAGTCTCTGCCTCAGTTTTATTTAATGTTGACATGTCCACTCGTTGTTTTTGTCACAGGAGCAACAGCAAGGATGACTAGAGAAGAACCAGCTTGATTTGGCCAACGGCAGCAGGTTTACAGACTCTGACTCTAGATTTACTTCTAAAAGGCATACAGTAGGCTTATGTATTAAATATAGTTACAAGGACGAGCGCAAAGGACATTTTTTCTATAATTTTAGTTAGTTTAAGTTAGTTTTGTATGTAGCCTACACAATACAATTTCAGCTAGTTCTAATTTTTAAAAAACACTTGTTTTAATTTTTATTTTAGTTAATGAAAAATGATTTTCGATTATAGTTTGTTTTTTTTTCCTTTGTTTTTGAGTTTTACAATTACAGCAAATATATATCTGTATAAAATAAAAAACAAGAATATTTATGTTGTGTAAACAACTTAAGACTGCATTTTTTACATCAAAATACACTAATATTGTTAAATTACAGTTGCAAAACTAGCATTGCAGTTTACTATTACAATTATAAGAGTTATAAAAAGTACATAGTTAAATTTATGGCAAATTACATTTTCAACAGCCATTAATTAGTCTTCTGTGCCTACATGAATCAGTATCAATTATGATCAAATATTGGTCCTTATATTATTATAAATGTAAGAAGCTTTTGATTATTTTAAATACCTATTTTGGCCTAGGGAGTTATCTGAGGACCAGATTGATTGGGAGACGGTTTGGGAACACATATTTTGTTCTTCAAAAAATTCAAATCACCAATTAATACATTTGATGTTCTGTCACAGATTGTACTGGATACCAAAGAAATGTTTTCTTTGTAAATTATCTCCAAGCCTCAATTGCAGCTAATTGCAACACGTTAGAACATTTATACATATGGTGTGGGAATGTGAGAAGAACTTCATCAATATTGTCTAAAATTATAGGAAAAGATATACCAAAGCAACCAGTTGTGCTACTTTTAAATGATGATTGTAGTTTGGGTTTGACAGAGCAACAAAGAAAGGTCTGGTTGGCAGGACTAACATCTGCTCAAAAGATAATTGGTGGTGTATGTGTATTCAACTTTTTATATGTTTTCTGTTAATTATTTGTCTTGATTGCTATGTTAAAGGCATAAACTTTAGCACTGCTGGGGGCTAGTGTGAGTTTTTTCCTGAGTGGGCTGGGGGGTTAAGCAGTAAATCTTGCTTTGTTTATTTAAAAGAATATTATAAAGATGATGTGACTATTCACATGTAAAATCATTAAAAAATTTATCACAAAAAAAAGAAAAAGCTTTTGATTTATAACATTACGAAATTTGTTATCACTTTTATTTAATTTAAGGTGCCCCTTGCTGACTTAAGCATTTAATTCTACCTTAAACCCATTTTCCACAAACATGACAAAACAACCAAAATACATTTTTATATACTCTTGGTTACCAAATCAACATATTTGTATGATTTATTTAAAAGATCTATGGATGATGTAGTAATGGATGATAACAAATCTGCTTAGCCATCTTTTTAAACTGCAGTCACTTTTAACTGTTCTCAATATTACTGTATTTCCGATCAAGTTAATGGAGTCTTGAGCCACAAAAAAAAACGATTATTCCAAACTTTTCACTGACAGCGAATGCAACATATAACCTTTAAAGTGAACTTCGCATGTGCTGACGCTTTCAAGCGCCCTTGGGGTTTCAAGAATTTGCTATCATCTATTTATAGATGCACTTATGTCAGCCTGGGTTTTGTATTTCATCCAATTAGTCACTATCAGAGAAGGAACATGTTGTCCTAGTCAAGCACAGCAACATGCAACATGTCCCGATTACAGCTCCCACCCATCCAGTCATCCATGCATTCAACCAGGCCAAATCAAGTCATTATCGCTACCGAGACCCTTTGCCCCCCCTCCAGGGATACGTCTGCTGAACAATGTCTGAGAATTAGCTCTGACTAGATGGCCAACGGGCATTAGAGCTTGTGATTGCACAATAATCAGTATTGCATTTAGACTGTGATTGTCATTGAAGTTAAAGTGACCTGTAATGGGGCTGCTTAACAAGGTAAGTCATCGTTAGAGAAAGAACAGAAAACACTGATCAGTCAATCAAGAATAGCTTTTAAAGCTTAAATATATCAGCTTATTCAAACCTTTTTCAACCTATTTCAAACCTTTGGCTCTAGTAATAGCCTTATTTGATATCATCAATTGTGAGTCACAGATCTTTATGTGGGTAGTTGACAAATACGCAATAAAAATATAAGAAAAAAATGTGTTAGGGTATAAAAATATAAAGGCTCACTAACGTTAACAATGCTTTTATTAATTTTTTTAGATTTTAACTGAACTGTACCCAGTGTGCGAATTATACACTGATGATCACGAGATAACAACTGTTTCGGTTAGTTTGTGTAATACATGCTTCACTCATTTATGTATATATTTTTAGTTATGTCTAGTTCATTAATAAAGCTTGTATACGTTTTCAGCCTTTCGAGAAATATTTAGTGTATTCTGACCTACAGTATTCTCTGATTAGCTACTTCAGATGTTACAGTAAATTAAACTACAAACCATGTGTCTAATTTAACTTTATTTCATGCTAAATCTAGAAACAAACACCTATTTTACAAGAAAACAAAGTCTTGTGAACACAATGTCTATCAGGGAACTAGATCTGCCAATTTCAGACTAGTTTCTCGAATAGACTGATTGGTGTGATTGTGCATTTACAATTGTTTGAACCATTATAGGGGTGGTCAAATGTACATTTTTGTTATGTATTATTTTAATTATATAAATCAGAGTGAAATATTTACCAGTATTAAAGGACTGACCCCCCTATACATCTTGTTTTGATGTCCTTCAAGGGGGATCAAGCATTAATTAGGAGAGTCAATTCCCCCCAAACCCCTGTAAAGCCTGATTTATACTTCTGCGTTGTGATTGGCATTACCCAAGGTGCATGCAAAGCACATATTTTGCGGTTTGTGTTGTTCTGCAATAACTCTTCAGAAACCTTAACTGGCAGTAGATGTTTATGTTCCTCTGTGTCAAGTTTCTTCACTGGTGTTTTGTTTTTTCTAAAAGCTATCTAATGTACAAGTGACTTAAACTCGCTCATTTTGAAGCGGGAATCGACGGACATGCAAAAATTTTAATCATAAGATAAAAACAAAGCAATAGTTTCCATCTAGAGAGACGGGCTTGCATGAGTCTTTTTTTCTCCATGTCTTGTCAAACTTGTTGGACAATTGTAATAAATGGGATGTCACACCAAATGATAACAGAACTTCTCAAGAAAATTAAAGCTTCTGTGGAATTGCAATCTAAAATTAGCATATACTGTAGTGTCAATCCAGAGGACATGATTTGCAGTAACAAAATTTATTAACTTCTTATGTGTTTACAAATATATGGATAAAAAATGATTGTCGTTTACTAAAATAGCCACATGTAAAATAATGCCTGAGGTATTTATAAATTTTTACAGTTTTCTTTTTAATTTCGAAAAGCTGTAATTACTGTAAACTGTTCTTGAGACAGTCACACCAGACACAGTTTTGAGATTTGGCTCAATAAATGTTAAAAATGTAATAACATGGCCTGATTTATAACAAGAGGTCCATGGAAGACAAAGAAAAGTTTAACCATTAATTGTATGTTAAATGATGGCCATTCTAATTATATTTACTTTTGTCATGTGTGACCACGAAAATGTAGCACAACATCTGATGTAACCCATTTGTTGGTTTTGT